GAAGAAAATATAATTATTAAATAATATTTTTTGAAATTTATTATTTATTAATTACAAATTTTGTTTCAAAAGAAGGGCGGTTGTCACGTCGTAGGGTCCCAATCCCATGCAGTGCATGTTCATCATAATTAACCAATGGGAGGTGGAGGGTCGTGATCAGGTGGTCCCTTGCCCACCTGCAACCCCATGCTCCTTCAATATTCGCCATTCGATCAGATCTCGACGTGACTTCATTGACCTCATTTTTTCCCCTTAAATTAATTTCTTCTTTTTTATTTTTTTAATTTTTAGTTTTTGAGCTTTTAGACTTATAAACAACAACGGTAAATTTTATTTAAAAGAAAGGAACGTGACCTATAATACAAAAGAAACCTGCACACTGTTATGGTGCCCGCCACACAAGCTCTGATGCTTAGATTAGCTCGAGAAAGTATTAGTGTAGCAAGATTTTAAGAGTTAAGAAGAGTTTAACGTCTTCAAACTAATGAAGGGTATTAGAATTTTCATGGGTTCGGGTTCCTTTTAGAATTAGGTTAAAAGATGACTGAATTAAGCTGGACCAATATCACATGAACTTGGGGCATGTTCGGCATGTGCCCCTAATGGGGCCCACTAGTTTGACCCGCCTTTTATGTTTTGATTCGTTTCCTTCTTTGTTTTGGTATTGTCCGGCTCTTTTGTCTTATTTAGTCTTTAATTTTTATTGTATTCTGTGTTTGTCCTCCTGATCTAATTTCAACGCTGAACAAAATATAATTAAAAAAAAAAGAATAAAGCTAAAAATAAAAAGACCCAATTAAGATTTAAATATTAATAAGAAAAATATGTTTTTCAATAAATAAAATATAAATTATTACTTCTAAATCAATCTAAACAATAATTCAACTAATTAATAATAATATCTCTCAAACTAAAAAATTATTAATAATTAAAAATTAAAAAATGTGGGTCCCACGATCCAACTCCTTTGTTGTTGGGGGAAGAACATTACTCAGGTCTCTTCCTTTGGATTCGTGGCCGGTAATGGAGGAGAAAAGGGGGTTTTGTTTCGGTGTAATCATTCCCATAGTTGTTTTGGTGTACTTTTTTTTTTTTCACCTTTTAAAATGCTAGTGTTAATTGATGGATGGGTTTTCTTTACTTTTGAACCTTTTCCTATTTTTTGGATTTATTTTATTGGTAAAATTATTATTATTTTTTAATTTTATCTTAAACATGAAAAAGATTTCATGGTCTCGTTGAAAGAAGCGTCGATTTATTATAGAATGTCTTCGCATCAGGTGCATCGAGAATGTAAGTCCGAACGTCTAGCATGAAACGGGATTAGTGCAAAAATTTTAAAATTTTAGAAAATAATTATATAATTAAAATGAAGGGCCACACACTTTTAATTGAAAATTGGGTGAAATAAAAGAATAATCAAGCATCAAATTCATCCACAAAGTGAAATAAAACATGTGGGTGACAATTTTTGACATTTTTTTAAATGTCACATCAATTAAAAAGCTACTTTATTTATTGTTGTGCGTATTATAATTTTTTTTTTATATAAATGTAATTACTATAATAAATTGGGAAAAAGAGAGAAAAATAAAAAACGAACCATATTTATAAAACTACCAATTGAAACAAGTAACATAAATAAAAAACTACGAAAGAAAGTAGACAAACTCGATGGAGAGGCGATCGTATGCTTAAAATATTGCTAGTGTAGGGAGTTTGTCCTTTATATTTCATAGATGGTGTCAAAACACGTTGAAAGACGTACACTTTATTTAAACTTTGATGACATTATTTTACTTGATACTCGTTCAATGAGTACATGTATTAATCCAATTATATCTACCGGTAATATATAACAAAATAGTTGAGAAATGATAGTTTCATAAACTATAAGGATATTCACAATCGTTTGCAAAACCACCCTGGATCGATCTAACGATTAGTTGAAACGAGCAACGAAAATAAAACAGACTATACTAAAGAATGGATATAAACTCAATAATGATCATCTGCTTAGAATATCAAAATCATATCTAGCTTAGGAAATTTATCTTCATACTGCATAAATAGTGTAAAAACACGCCTACGAACTGACCCTTCATGCTGAACTTTTACGACATTATTTCACGTGATACTCAGAATAAGCACATGTATCAATTCAATTAAAGGTACCAACAATGTATAACAAAATGGTTGAGATGTAACACTTCCCAAACCACAAGGACATTCAAAAACATTTACAAAACTACCGTGGTTGTCAAACAGACTACTAGAACGGATACAAACTCTACAATGATAATGATCATCTACTTAGAATATTAAAATCAAATCTAAACAATCTATCTTTATACTTCATAAATAGTGTCAAAACACGTGTACAGACCGACCCTTCATGCTAAAACTTTAACGACATTATTTCATATGATACTCGCTGATTAAGCACACATATCAATCCAATTAAAGCTACCAATATACAACAAAATAGGCTACAAATAACACTTTCACAAACAATAAGGATATTCAAAATCATTTACAAAACAACATATAGATTAAACGAGTTGAGAATGAAGCAAACTCTAAAGTAGAATATAAGATTATATCCATTATCCAGCTTAGGGAATCTGTGGGAAAAGACGCAGTACAGTGACAGCCACCATAAGTAGGCAACAAACACATGGTTTAGAAACCACCGGAGACAAAAAAAGAAAAGGGCAAGGTACTGAGAAAGAAGTGATATTTGAGCTTTTAGTGAGACAAGAAGTGATTTTGATTTTTGATTTTTGGTAAAGAAAAGGGTCCCATAGAAGCGTAAATTAAAAGCAAATGAAAAGAGGCACGTAAATTTGCTACCCAACAATCACATGTGGGGCGGTGCAGGCAGCAGATACCGACATCCACAAACTTCCACATAAATTTATAATTCAAAAATCTCAAAATGGGACAACAAATAATAATATTTGGTCGTATATTTCAATCAATACTATTGAAAAATATATGCATAAGAAGATTAAAGTTTTTAATAAAATAACAATCCCAAGTCTAGAATGGAAATGTGAGCAAACAAACCTAATTCTTAAATCATTATCTCAACTCTTTCTTCCAGAAAGAGAAAAGGAAAACCTAATATCACCACAAATAAAAAGGTCTATGTTTTCCATACAAGTGGGGTTAGGGGGAAAATGAGTGAACTTGTAAATTACTTCATATTAGTTGGCTCATAATTACTTTGAAGGAAATTTGATTTTGTTTGCACACAAATGTTGACAAATTTGGAAGAGTTTTAATTGTAGAGAATGGCCACCACTAGCTAGCATTGCAATAAAACTTGCATAATAATGATAAATTTGGTCAATAAAGTTATGAACTCATGTGGGTTAGTTTTGTATTCTTATTGGTCTAAGCCGAATCAGCCCTATAAAAGATTCACAAGCTCAAACTATAGGCTTTTTGTCACCATTCACTAACTAAAATTCCAATAAAGAAGAGTGGGCTGATGGAATCTACAAAGTTCTATAAATAATATCGAAGAGATTTGTTCAAGATCAATCTAAAATTCCAAAAATGTAATAGGTACAGGCTTGAAAAGAAAGCAAACAAGAGTGGCACAGAGAGGATATATATATATATATATATATATATATATATATATGAAGACAAAAGGAGGCTACCAAAGAGTTGAAAGAAGGCACACTCCAATTAGAGGGAAAATTTCTACCACTATCCTGATGTGGAATTCTTGAACATATCCTCACTATTAAAAATAAGAAGTATGAAACCCCTAGAAGATAAAATCACATTTTTTTGACATTATGAGGTTCCTAAGTTATTAAAACTTTCATTATCATACTTATCCTTTACGTAAAGCTTACTAAATATGCTTACTACTAGGCAAAAACAACAAAATTCTGATAAAGAAAAAACATGTTTAGTGGTGCAATGATATTTTGTTTGGATGAAAATGGGAGTTTGATATGTGAGATTGACTAAAAGTATGGAGTTGGGTTTCAAGATACTATTTTGGTTAAATGGCATGAGCTAGAATTGCCAACCTATGAAAGCTCCTTTGGGTAAGACATATACTATCGACTGAGAGATCGGAGACCCACATGTTGATCTCACCAATTGCTTACTTAAAATGTTAGAATTTCATTACTGCTCACTAATTCAAAGGGTATTTATCAAGCTTCACCGAAAAGATAGAGCTACAGTACAAATTTTAAATGCAGAGTGACCAAATTAAAAATAAAAAGGAAATATATGAACTAAAAATCTAATTCAAATGATGATGGGATTAAATATGAATGATGGAATGGTGCACCATAAACTTCCCATATTACATCCATACAGACTATCTTTGGTCACTTCAACTTTTTCTATCTACCTTTTGCTAGCTAGTGACCTTAACTGTTCTTCCTGAGTTGATTATGTTTTGTCATACAGAACGTGAATTGAAGGGTTGTGATTTGAATCCTCTTAATGTAACGGAACCAAAGGGGAGAAATTGGATCATGATGAACTCCACGAAACTGGAAAGGAAGGACCCTACCCCTACCACTCTAATCCTGTTAGTGTGGGTGGCTTTTTCTACCAACCAACTCAATAAATGGTTCAGAATGTACAACGCGTATCTTTGACTTTTTGGCACCTTTTTTTCCTTTTCTTTGATTAGTCACAAGTGAATCCTTGTTCACAAGCCATAAATGAAAGCAATTACACTAAAGATAATGTCCTCTACTCTTGATGGTTTGACGTTTTTGGACACGCAAAGGAAGAGCAATGGGGTCTCTTTTACCAGATTTTAAGACTTTTAATGTACTTAGGAAAGATAAAAAGAATAGGGTCATTTGAAAAGTAATGGTAATAATACGATAGAAAGATATTTAGTAAAACTTATAATGGTTTTTTCATTTTTTAAGCCATCCTATTCTAACTACTATGTTCTAAAACATATCTATATGTGCAAAAAAAAAAAAAACCCCATTTTTGACAGAAAGATATTCACTCAATAAAAGATATTAGTAAAAAAAGTAATTTACTTACTGAGATCTTCTTTACAGACGCAAAAGTAAAAGTAAAAAGTCATTCCTACTTTAAAATTTCAAAGATAAGCTGGATTACCTCCTCAAGGTGAAAAGTGAACTAATTTGTTCTCTTGTTTAAGTGATCAGCCTGAAATTGTTTTAACAGTTGTAGGGACTGATGATACAGGTTCAGGTCAATGCCGTCAACATTCCTACCAACACGTGCCTGCAGAGTTGCCTGAAAATACCGCACCAGTCAAGACTCTTGTGTGTGAACGTTGAGACAAAGAGATAGAAAATAGTCACAAAATGGTATTTCACCTCATTTTCTGATTGAACAAGTAGTTCACCAATAAATTGATATATGGAGCCAATGCGAAAGGTAAGCTCTCTCAGATGCCGTGTGTCGATCTTCAAGCTAACATTTCCATCGACGATTATGGCAATGGCTGTCTCCACAGAATACTCCACTAACCTGCCCTTGAAGAACAGATGGTAATTACTTTCATTGTCACTGAAAGAGTAAAGGAAAGGAAATATTGTAAAGATTCAATAGTATTTTTGTCATATATCTCATAGTAATAAATTGAAAAAAAAGGTTGCATATGCATCAAGAACTATTTGAACGTTAAGATTAAGTTCCTCATTAAAGGTCATCAACAAATAATCTGTTGTCACATTAAGTAAGAAGAGGATTACATGATGTTGGCACTATCAGATTATGTTTCAAAGTTGATCTCAGATTTTGATTAAATGGTGGGTCCATGCCTTAGTTATGGATTTTAAATATCTGGTTTCTGGAAAATGCACATCAGACATTGAACATTCACAATAGCCAAGGAAATCTATCACTTCAACATCCGATAAGGTTGCACCAGCCAAGAAATTCAACATCGAATAATGCTATTAAAATATCAATCTGAAGGATATGCGAATTCATTGATTATGTCACCTACAGTGAACCATTACGTTAGAAAAAGTTGAATACATATCAAATCCAAATCTATGAATTTTGACGTTATGATAATAGTGAACATGCAGAGGAGAAAAGGTGAGTGTATCACTTCATTGCTAAGCATATCAAGGCTGCCCAAATTTTAAACAGACAGATATTGAGACAAATTCTAGCAAACTTTACTTTCCAGTAACTCTAAGTGAAGCCCCATCCTTGAAGAACTCTGAAGATGGCTTCAGGTCTTTCAGTGAAACCAACGCCCCTGATTTTATTGCAGCCGATGCCATCCAGTATAATTCTTTTTCTCACAAAAAGCACTTTGCTCCCTACTAAGAGTCAAATCCTACAGGAAAGATATGTAAATCTAAGTAAACAATCAATAAATTCTTCGTAAGACAAAATGTAACAGCTCAAGCCCACCGCTTGCAGTTATTGTCCTCTTTGGGCTTTCCCTCAAAGTTTTGAAACGCGTCTACTACGGAAAAGGTTTCACTCTTATAAAGAATATTTTTTTCTCCTCTCTAACCGATGTAGGATCGCACAATCCACCCCCTTGGAGACCCAGTGTCTGTGGTAACAGTTCAAGCCCATTGCTAGCAGATATTATCCTCTTTGGACTTTCCCTTTTGGGCTTCCCCTTAAGGCTCTGAAACGCGTCTACTAGGGAAAGGTTTCTACATTCTATAAGGAATGTTTCGTTTCCCTCTCCAACCGAGGTGGGATCTCACATATGATAGAATAACTATTAAATTAGTCTTACAAAGTACGAAATTAGCCCTTCAACCATTGTTCTTTACTCTAACATGTCACATGTTACCATGTCACACAGTCTCAGATCTTCACACAATGCTTTTAACCCAACCCGTCTCTAAATTGAATTATGATTTATGATTACCTACTATAAACATTCAGAAAGTTATTCAATCAAGCAGCCATTGTCAACTTCCCATCACAGGATTCTTCTTCCCACTTCCAAGCAACAATAAAGTCCCCCACTCCTTTACACATAATAAGTTGCGTTTTTACCAAATTCCTTGTCCATTTCATGTCATTTTGATCTTGGAAACCTTAAATATACTCCATCCAGTAAAGTTTCCACTAGCAAACAGATTCATCATGCATTCCACTAAGGTAACAAATTCTTCGAACTACATTCGGATTTCGGACTAAAAGAAATAACTCAAAAGATTAATGACTACGCCATGGCACATATTTCTGTTCCTCAGTAACCAAACAGAAAGCGAAAACCCTAAGGATTCCAAACAGGACAATACATGAATCGTAATAATCGATCATGAGCTCAACGGTGGATTGAAAGGCGAAAAAAGTTGAAAATCAAATTCCACCAAGCACAATCATAAACAATCAAAATAATGGATTCAGATTCAGATTCTTGATATGTCTAATCGGCAAGCAAAACAGAAAGTGGAGCACCATGATTGCAGAAGCGAATTTATGAAAAAAACGTGGAGCCATGAAATTCAAACGAGAGAGAGAGAGAGAGAGAGAGCACGCCTACTTACCTGTCGCCTTCTGAAATTTAACCAAACCAAGCAACACGGTGACGACGACTCACGAGACTTCGAAATGAACTTTTGAGAGGAAACAATTAAAAATTATAAATTATAAAAAAATTATAAAAATTATAATAAAAAAAAAACTTAAAACTTGGTTCGGGTCTAGCGAGGTATACATCGTGTTTATATGACTAGATATGAGTACACATTGAACCCGACAATGCGAATTATAGGGGTTGGATTGGGTTAATTTTTATGAACCTGAATAAATTCGGTTCGGTTTCGGGTTCATTGACAAAACCTTGCGTGACCCAAAGCCAATAAAATATATTAAGAAATGTTATGTAATCACGGGTATGTCGGAGTGGTGATAGAAGCGGAATGTTGTGTAAATGAATATTAAATTTTATTAGATTTTAGTTATTAATATAATATGTAACGTGAATAAATATAATTTTTTAAAATAATTAAAAAAATGATTTATACTTGGAAATAAAATGAAGTTATGTTAGATTAATTTTTTCTCAAGTTTTTCATAATGGGCCTTTTATTTCGGCCCACTACCAAAATGGGCTTTTGCCATATTATTATTATTTTTTATTTTTTATTTTTTTAAGTATTGATCGAGGTGGAGGAGTGCTCGAGAGCTGCACTGTCACATAAGGGTGTCACTCTTTTTTTTTTTCCAGGTACGGGTCGGGGGTGGGGGAGTGCTCAGGAACTGCACTGTCACATAAGAGTATCACATATCTTTTTTTCAGGTATTGGTCGAGGTGGAGGAATGCTCGGAAGTTACGGTATTACAGAGGGGGTGTCGACCTGGGACATCAGTGTAGTCTACAAATTTGAGTATTGATAAATTTATATTTTCTATAATCGACACGCTCATGACAAGCACCATTCATATTTTTCATCCATTTTCATGGCTTCATCTGACCTTAGGCAAGGTTCTCTTTTGCCCACCGAACATAACTCGTGTAGAATCCAAGCTTGTTTAGCCACACCCGTCATGTTCAATCATCTACAACTCTAGCCGACTTGCCTCTACACTATGCCAAGTCATTCGGACTGGACCTTACCTCTACTCTAGGACAAGATCTGTCATGTGTAACGTCGTATCTCAATCATCATCTTGGTTCCCAACAACACGTCCATACATCGTGATGTCATCTCACGTCTGAGGACAGCTCGACCATCTTGGCTTGTTTAGGCATGTCTATCTTGACCCTCACGTGGCCGAATGGACGCCACTTGAGAGCCACCACCGTATCGGTCTACCTCATTCATATTTTTCATCCATCTTCGTGGCTTCATTTGACCTTAGGCAAGGTTCTCTTTCGCCCACCGAACATAACTCGTGTAGAATCCAAACTTGTTTAGCCACACCTATCATGTTCAATCGTCTACAACTCTAACCGACTTGCCTCTACACTAGGCCAAGTCATTCAACTGAACCTTACCTAACTCCAGGACAAAGTCTGTCGCGTGTAACGTCGCATCTCAGTCACCATCTTGGTTCCCAACAACACGTCCATACATCGTGATGTCACCTCACGTCAGTGGACAGCTCGACCATCTTGGCTTGTTTAGGCATGTCTATCCATGGCCGAATGGACGCCACTTGAGAGAGCCACCAGCTTATCGGTCCGCGTGTAAGGAACAAAAAACCCAAATTTGGAAACATACTTAGTCCTTTATGATCCAGCAATGCAAATTCGTAGATTGTGTGCTTGAAAAGAACTCAAAACAGTTCCTTGTTCAAAAGGGGAATGTCTTTCTCTCTCCTACTCACTTAACTTCGCACGTGCGAAGTGGGGTTGTATATCCAAATTTGACCATCCTCCTACTTTTTCATATTTGCAGATTAGTCCTCCAACTTATTGCTATATAATTAATGATATTAATTTCCAACTAAACAAAAATTTAATTTATATAAATAATTTGGCAGTTACTATAAATATAAATAAATAAATATATATATATATATATAATATTAAATAAGTTGGCAGTTACCATATATATATTAAATAAAATATTTATGGCGAATATTTGAACTCTAAATTTGTTAAATTAAAAAAACAAAAAATATTAATTTATTATTATTATTTTGAAGTTATGTAGCCAAACAATTTATTTTATTTTTTTTAATAATATGTTATTTTGTCAAATTCCAAAAATAAAATGGTTATTTATTAGTTTTTAAAAATATTTGTGTAAAATAAATAACAAAATTAATTAATTATTAATATTTGTTGTCAAGTAAATTAGAACTTTTAAAAATAATTAACACCCCGTTTAAATTTATTCTTATCTTTTAATTATTTTAGAAATTTAGTTAATTAAATTATAAAATAATGAATAATTTTTAATAAATAAATACAGAAAAATGGTTTGAAGTCACAAAATTTAGATATTTACCCTTTTTTATTTATTATTTATTAAATACGTGAAATTATATATATATTTTTTTTATAAAGGAGAAAAAAATATTAATTTATTAAATAAAATACATCGAGATCTTGATCTGGTCCCACATTTAATTTTCTTTTTAGGATATTTAAAAATTATTTCTATTTTATTATATTATTTATATTTATAATTAAATAATTGGCACATGGTTTTTTTTCTTAATTAAAAAAAAGTCACCAAAAGGCAAATAAAATAAAGTTCACGTGATTTTCCTCTTTGTCGTTTTTCCAAAAATATTTATTAGCATTATTAAAAATAAAATAATAAAAATTGAGAAATATGACAAATATATATATATATATATATATATATATATAATATAATGCCGCTAAGTTAATAGTTATTATAATTTTATTCTTTTTCATTTTTAATTAATAATTTGAAAAATAAAAAATTAACTGTTGTTTAAAAAAATAATATATATTATTTATAAAAAAACAAAAAAATAATAAAACTTTACCAAAAAAAACCCTTATTTATTTATTTATTGTTTCTTCCTCCAATAATTTATTTTTATTTTTTTTTAATATGATTTTTCTACTTTTTTCAAGTATTTAAGTTTATTATTGTTTTTTTAATAATTTTTTTTTCAATTAAATAATTTTATAGTAAGAAAATTAGGATCTTATTTGGCTGCATGCCAAAAGGGAAACCGGCAACTTGTGCAGTCAGTCAAAGGAGGGCTTGACCATTTAAAAAACAAAAAAATAATTTAATTTAAAAAATAAAAAAAATAATTTAATTTAAAAAATTGAAATAATTCAAAAACGACTAATAAAACGTTTCTATATATATATATATATTAAATAGTCGTCATACGAATAATTCCCTACCTCTATTATCTAGCGAGTCTAGGTCCATTTTGATTGCTCGTAAAATTTTCAAATTTACTAATGTACTTTGTTACTAATTTAAAAATAATAAAAATAAGACAATATTTTATATTTTAAAATCATATTAATTTTAAAATTTTGAGTTGAATTATGACTAATTTGTCTTTAAAATCGATAACGTGCAAGAGTAGAGAATTTAATTATCGATCTCTGGATGGATGACATATGTGAATTTAATTATCGTGGATGGATGACATATGTTATATGTTTTTAGACATTTTTAGACAGTTAAGTTACCCTGCGTTAGTAACAATAAAATAATAAAATTAATTTTAGTTTAGTTTGAAATTAATATCATTAATTACTATACCATAAAGTCAAAGAATTACATTTTCAAAACTCATTAAATTATAAATAAATTTGCCCCCACCCTATAAATGATATAGAGTTAGAGGACTAATCTGCAAATATAAAGAAGTAGGAGATGGTCAAATTTGGATATACAATCCCTCTTCGCACGTGCCAAGTTAAGTACATCCAAAGTCTGAGTAGGAGAGAGAAAGATAATCCTCCGTTAATTTATCTATTTAAAACCATTTCCAGTTTCCTCTTCCTTAGCTGATATCGAACAACAAAATGGCCGGAATTTTCACCGTCGGAATGTTGCCGGACGACTGTCTTTCCGCCATTCTCTCCCTCACAACTCCCGCCGACGTCGGGAAACTATCCCTCATATCGTCGGCGTTCCGACCAGCGGCGGAATCCGACGTCGTTTGGGGAAGATTTTTGCCTGAAAACTACGCTCGGATTATCGCCGCCTCTGATATCTCCGACGAAGTTCCGTTTGGGTCGAAGAGAGAGATTTTTTTCCGGCTCTGTTCTCCGATCCTCATCGACGGCGGTAAAACGGTAAATAAATGAAACCCATAAACCATTTTGTCGGACTCTGTTCGTCTTATTGGTTGAATAATTCATCTCTGTTTTTACAGAGCTTCGAGTTGGATAAATTTTCCGGGAAAATCTGTTATATACTGTCAGCAAGAGAATTGGGTATCACATGGAGCTCTGATCCACTGTGTTGGAGCTGGAAACCGCACCCAGAATCCAGGTATATACGTAATAGTTCAAACCCACCCTGAGTAGATATTATATTCTTTTGACTTTTAGTTTTTGTTCCCTTTTCAAAGTCCTCATGGGCACTCGTTCCCTTGTCAAATCGACGTGGGACCTCCCAAATCCACCTTCTTTTGGAATCCAATGTCCTTGATGGCACACCGCCTTGTGTCAACCCTCTTCAGGGCTCAGCCTTCTCGATGGCACATCACTTGGTGTCGGGCTCTAATACCATTTCTAACAACACAAGTCTACTACTAGCAGATATGGTCTCAATTTTGACTTCTCCTTTAGGCTTTCCCTTTCGGACTTCCTTTCAATTTTGGCTTCTCCTTCGGGCTTTCCCTTACGACTTTCTCTCAATGTTTTTAAAATGCAAGTGCAATTTCCACACCCTCAAAGGGTATTTTGTGGCCCAACATTCTCTCTTCTCCCCCCAAATCTTCTCGCTGGCACATCGAGTGTCTGGCTCTTATACTATTTGTAATAGCTCAAACTTGATATTGCCCTTTTTAGACTTTTCCTTTCAAGCTTCCCTCAAAGTTTTTAAAACACATCGGGAAGATTTCCATGTCTTCTCCAGAATCGAGGTAGAATCTCTCACACATATATAGACATGTTTCTAAATGCATCCAATTTGTGGTTAGATTTTCAGAAGTGGCAGAGCTAAGAACAGTGAGCTGGCTGGAAATCCATGGAAGAATAAGGAGACAGAGGCTGTCGCCAAACACAGAGTACGGAGCGTACCTTCTAGTGAAGATAACAGAGAGAGCGTATGGGTTGGATTTGATGGCGGCGGAAGTTTCGGTGGCGGTGGGGAATGGAGGGCGGATTTCAGAGGGCAGAGTATGGCTGCAGCGGAAACAGAGGAAGGAGGAAGATTTAGAGAGCTTGTTTTATGGGAATAGAAGGGAAAGAGTGAGGAATCTAATGGGAACAGAGGAAGAAGAAGAAAACAATGGCATAAGGGGTTTGAAGGAGAGAGATGACGGTTGGTTTGAGATTGAATTGGGAGAGTTCATGAGTGGGGAAGATGATGATGATGATGATGAAGAAGATGTTCATATGAGTTTAATGGAGATTAGAGGCTTTCAGCTCAAAGCTGGAATCATTGTTGAAGGGATTCAAATTAGGCCTAAAAATTGACAAAACTCAAATAAATCCTCCGTTATTTGTTGCGGGTCGCGGGTCGGTCGAGGACTCCTTCTCCTTCCCCTTCTTCAAACTCCAATCCAAATGATTCATAGAGAAATCCCTAATCAACGATAGAACAAGATCCATTTTGTATTTATATCTAAGGGATTCCTGGATTCGGATTGAGTCATGTATAATATATATAATAAAATATCTCACCAGCTAGAGGGATGTTTCCACAGAAGAATGCTTCATTCTCCATGGAGATCGACCTCAAAGGAGGCCTAAAAATTGACAAAACTTGGCATAAATTGAGTCATGTAAAATATCTATAATAAAATATCCAAGAGTGAACGACCCTATTGTAACATCTCAAGTCTACCGTTTTTAAAACGTACCAGTTAGAGGGATGTTTCCACATCCTTATGAAGAATGCTTCATTCCCCATGGAGATCGACCTCAAAGTCCTCAAAAGCATTCAACTTTGGCAGGCACTCATGGTGGTCGACCTCTCGTGTTCGACTGATATTGACATTGAAACAATTAAATACAAAATAGTATGTAAAATATATAGATATACCAAAAACTTACTAAAGGCTAATTTGTTCATAGAACAATATGGACAGTTTTGAAATATGAAGCAAATAAGGATGGAAAAGTGGGAGGAAAGAAAATACAAGATGTTTCTCATTGAATACGATTGTGATGTTATAATAGCGAAAACTTGAACAAAGAAACGAGTGAATCTCACATGATAATGTATCTTCAAGTTTACCAAAACGTGAATTTTCTGTCTCACAAATAGCGCTGAACATGGTACTGAAACTAAACTCTGTAACCCCTGCTGTTCCTCTTTCCTCTAGCTCTCTCAAACTTCCTTCCCTTCGACCTCACGTACGGTTTCGTGTGGCTGTGAGGTACACCGGGAGCAGGACCAAAGTGCTTCACGGCTTCTCGGGAGTTCTTCGGTCCACGAAGGAGAACCTTTGGATGCAAAATTACAGCAGATTAAGTTTGAATCTCACAATTGTTAATATAGGGTGCTCGACGACAAGTCTATATGAAATTCCAGGACACAGTCGCTTTCATACCGTATTCTGGCCAAGAGGAGCTCGCAGGGCAAGTTGGTCGAAGGTCAAGCACTCGCCACCAGCCTTCTCGATCCTTGCCCTTGCAGTCTCGGTAAACCTCAAGGCTGTAACCTTCAAAGCTGGGACTTCATAAACACGAATGTCGTCGGTCACGGTTCCGACAATGACAGCGATTTTATTTTCCTGTACAAAGTTATAACCACGTGAAGTTAGACACTGAACAATGCGGATAAAATGGTGAAGAATAGGTAATGCATACATAGAAGCACACACCTTTCCCTTCATGAACTTGATAAGTCGGGATAGTGAAATTGGTGGCTTGTTCACCTTGCTCATGAACAACCGCTTGAGGATCACTGCATTGAAATTGCTTCCAGTTCTTCGGACAAGAAATCGGTACAGCTGAATTCAGTGAACAAAATTGAAAGAACCCATCACTTAAATGAACCGAATAAGCATAATGAACATTAAACACCTTAAAATAAACCTAAAGTGACCATAAAAATGAATTATTATTGAAAACAATCTTGAAACGCAAGAAAGTAGCCCTTCTTTTCATCTTAATTTGAATGCTGAATTTGATACAAAATGAAAAACTTCAAGGGTACAATAGTTTGAGCTCAGGTAAATATGTGAATCTTGTCCAGTCATTGGCATTTAGAATGCCTCATAGAGCTGGGATTAACATAATTCATCATTGCTGCTGATATAACAATATCAGCATTTCAATCAAAATAAATTTAAGGGGAGACAAAAAATTCGAAATCAAGGTTTCTTAGTGAACAATTATACCGTTTCGTTGTTCAAATTGAATAAGAAAGTTTAACAATGAACCTAAGCTCAGATAAATGTGGAAACAGATTCATTCCCGGACCTACGGAAGGTCTCATAATGAGCTGGGATACACAGATATCATCACTGCACATAAACTTCAACTACTTACTCATCAAACAACCAGATTTCATGCTCCATTAAGATACAAGGGTTAAAGTTAAAGAATATTATCACAGAATAAGATTATAAATTCATATGGATACAATATTAGATATTCAAACAAATAAAGGTCCTTCAGAAAAAATTAATTCAAGAGTGTAGGCTAGTTCCCTCAGAGACAAGAGTTGAAGATCAATCATCATGTGATCAGTATTAGCATGGTTTAAAAAGTAAAACATCATAGGGAACAACCTATCTCTCAATCCTTCGACAAGGAAGACAGTGACTGAAATGGCAGAAGGATATGCGAACGGGCTTCGTTATCAATACATGATGAAGGTAGCTCATAATTGTCATCTTAATTTTACTGCTGAGTTTGATGCGAAATGAAAAAACTGAAAGAGTAAAATATTTTGAGCTCAGGTAAATATGTGGATCTTGTCTAGTCCTTGACCTTTAGAAAGTCTCATAGAGCTGGGATTAACACATTGCATCATTGCGGCTGATAACACACAGTAAACATTTCAATCAAAATATAATTAAAGAAAAGTTAAAAATATTGGGCCATCGATTTAAAAGTAATATTTTGAGCTCAGGTAAATATGTGGATCTTGTCTAGTCCTTGACCTGTAGAAAGTCTCATAGAGCTGGGATTATCACATTGCATCATTGCGGTAACACAATAAACATTTCAATCAAAACATAATTAAAGAAAAGATAAAAATATTGGCCCGTCGATTTAAAAATAATATTTTAAGCTCAGGTAAATATGTGGATCTTGTCTAATCCTTGACCTGTAGAAAGTCTCATAGAGCTGGGATTATCATATTGCATCATTGCGGCTGATAATAAAATCAGCATTTCAATAAAAATAAAATAAAAGAAAAGTTAAAAATATTAGCCCATCGATTTAAAAATTATATTTTGAGCTCAGGTGTATATGTGGATCTTGTCTAGTCCTTGACCTTTAGAAAGTCTCATAGAGCTGGGATTATCACATTGCATCATTGCGGTTGATAATACAATAAGCATTTTCAATCAAAATATAATTAAAGAAAAGTTAAAAATATTGGCCCATAGATTTAAAAATAATATTTTGAGCTCAGGTAAATATGTGGATCTTGTCTAGTCCTTGACCTTTAGAAAGTCTCATAGAGCTGGGATTATCACATTGCATCATTGCGGCTGATAATACAATCAGCATTTCAATCAAAATATAGTTTTAAGAAAGTTAAAAATATAGGCCAATCGATGAAGATATAATATTTCGTATCTAAAAATTCGAAATCCAGGTTTATTAGTGGCCAATTATTCTGCTTCGTTGTTCAAATTGAATCAGAAAGTTTAAAAACTCTGAGCCTAGGCTCAGATAAATGTGGAAACTGGTTCATTCCCGGACCTACGAAAGGTCTCATAATGAGCTGGGATACACAGATATCATCACTGCACATAAACTTCACCTACTTTATTATCAAATAATCAGATTTCAAGCACATTTAAGTTTAAAAAAAATCCAGACTTAAAAAACTGAAACACGAGCAAAATCACGTGAAAATAACAATGTCTAAAATTCCACTCCACATTCACATTCACAACATACTCATTCATTAGTTTAAAAAAATAAATAAATAAAAACTCATTTCAATTCTCTAAGAATTTCAATCGGTGAAATCAAATGCTCGTCACTACAGCGTAACCAGCGATGATTAGCAAAAATATAAAATAAGAAAACCAACCTTCACGAGGAGCTTGAGGTAGATATCGTCGGACTTAGGCGCAGTCCTCTTGGCCTTCTTACTCTTGCCTCCTGCTACGAGATCGATCCCCTGCAATTAACGGAAAACAAGTCTCAGACATTGATCTACACCATTGGAGCAATAGAAATGAATTGAGGTAGAGAAAGAAACAGACCATTGAAGCTCTTGGTGGAGAAACCCTTCCGCTCCGCGACGGCGACTGCTAGGAGTGAACGACAATGGTTTTAGGGCTTTCGAAAACCCTATTTATCGAAGACGAGGGCATATAACTTGTGTACCACTGCGGCGCGCTTAACCTAACTTGGAAAATTGAATCCTAGCCGTACGCGTGTCCTACAAATAATTTATAATAAAATTTTGGAATTTTATTTATTTTTTATTATTATTTTAAGGTTTAAATCTCTCCATTTTTAAATTTTAATTTTCTAATTTATTTTCATATATCACTAAAATATTATTAAATATATTTGTTTGTCTATTTATTATTATTATTAAAGGTTAGTTTTAAAAACATTTGTTTGATTATTTTAACCATTTAATTAATACTTGTCACTTAATTTTAATATATATTTTGAAAAAAAAATATTATGAATAATAAAAAATTATAATTAGATGAAGAATAAACAATAAAAAAATAATAATTATAAAATTATGCTCAGTAAAAAAATATAATTATTTATTTGAATCTCACTCTTGATGGCGGCAGACTTGCGATTCTGCGGCACTCATTCTCCAACGACAGGTGAACTAAGTCAATTCGTTCTTACGTTGCCTACGGCCAAGCGACGTATGCTCGAGCCTCTAGCCTCAGTTTAAGAAGAAAGTTTTAGAAAACGAGGGCAAAGAGAGATTTTGAAAGAGACGTTGTATAAGAGTAACAACAACGGCTCACAGTATATAACTATTGGTAGGGAATATGAATAACTGTGAAATCATGTCAATAAACTCACTAATATTGTTCGTTCTAACTTTTTCGAGCTCTGTAGACAATAGATTGTTAACCAAAAGTTTATAACGTTTAAAAACGATGCACATTTTTAGATGTTTTAGAGACGGAACCCCTTACATTGATGCACGAGTCTAATGGATACCGAACGTGTTCACATGGATTATCGACCTAAAGAAAATTTAATTCTTCGTGGCAACTAATATTCGATCTTCATTAACCCTTTTGGCCCATGCATTTAATAGCGTCTCTAATTTCCCGAATCGACTGAAAAGAGGTAGAGTGATAACATCTGTAGCGTTGATGAACACCGTGGCAACTAATATTCGATCTTCGTTAACCCTTTTGGCCCATACATTTCATAGCGTCTCTAGTTTCCCGAAATGACTGAAAAGAGGTAGAGCAATAGTATCTATAGTGTTGATGAACGTCGTGGCAACTAATATTCGACCTTCATTAATCCTCTTGGCCCATGCATTTAATAGCGTCTCTAGTTTCCCACTGAAAAGAGGTAGAGCGATAATATCTGTAGCGTTGATGAATGTCGTGGCAACGAATATTCGATATTCGTTAACCCTTTTGGCCCATGCATTTAATAGCGTCTCTAGTTTCCCATATCGACCTAAAAACAGCTAGACACAATAGTATCTGCAGCGTTGATGAACGCGGTAATAATCTGATATTTTTTTATCATTTGGTCATCCGTCTTTGTGTCTGTAATTGCTTAACCAAAATAAATATTTACTTCCAGTAATATTTTAAACCTTAAAAAGTCTGTATTTTTAAAATAAAATATTGGTAGCCTCTTTTTTAATTTTTTTATAATTAAAAAAAAATTTGAAATGATATTTTTATTAATTTATAATAAAAAAATAAAAAAATAAAATCCAATAGTAGTAATTTTATTAGAGTGGGGCCAAGTAATAATTAAACGAAAGCTTAAAATTTACTCTTGAAATAATGGTAAAATTATTTGAACGACAAATCGCGGCACCTTTCGACACTAATCGGTTGGGCTGGGCCCAGCCCAGGCAAGAAAGCGTCTAAAGCCACCTTTCCACCACTCTCTGACACAATACGACACGTCGGAATAATATTGCGAAGCGGGCCGACTAAACCGGGATAACTTGACTCGAACCGGTCCATTACAGCTCATTTCTGTTTTTTCCAATTTTATACGACGCTGTCTCTCTTTCCCTCCCTCTCTTTCTCTCTCCCTGCTTCAGTTCATTTGAAAATCGGTAACAGAATTTTCCGGTTTCCGGCAATGGACGACGAAGAAGTGGAGCTCAGCCACGAGCAGAAGAAGGAGATCGCGAAATGGTTTCTTCTAAACGCTCCTTCCGGTGAAATCCAATTCGTCGCCAAAGGTTATCAATTACAGTTCTAGATGTGTTTTTTTTTTCTTTTATACATTATGTATAAACGTTGCCGATGATTTTGTTATGAAATTTTCAGATGTGATGAAACTTTTGAACGACGATGAGTTGTACCGCGAGGCAGCATCTGAAGCGTTTTCTCAGTACAATAAATCGCACATGATTTGCCTCGAAATGCCTGGCCGAGTTGGAGATGTGAGTTTCTTGTACGAATAGCCTTTATCAGCTGCTATTTTCTTTGCGGATAAGGTTGGGGAACTAGTTTTTTCGATTCGAGATAATCATAATGATTTGCGTGATGAGCTTGCATTTTGTTTTATTCAAATTTCTGGTTGTATTTTCTGCGTGGTCTTGCCATTTTTATGCTGTTTTATCTTCGAATTTGAATGGAATACAATCTAATCCCATCCATGTAGATGCAGAATGTTTACAAACCAGAGTTAGTCGCTAACTTTTGTACATATCTAGTGAAAAAACTTATATAGAAAGTCATTCCTGTGGACGGTTGTCTACTTAAATCAAGCATTCGTACAATTTTGGAAGGAGCATTTGATTCCTATTATCTTGAAATTACGTTCTAGAAGTTTTGCAGATTAATCATCTTGTTTTCTTCATGCGTCTCACTATTTTCATGTGATGTGAATTCAGGTGGTTATTACAGCATTCAATGAGCTTGAAGAAAATGAGTTCCTTGATCCAAGAACTGCACAAGTTGCTATAGTGGATAACATTAAACAGGTAAGGGTTCAATCTGAATCAATCCGAGCATAACCATTTTCCAGACGTAAAAGTAAATTTCCAAGTGATTGATTAATTGTAGGAGTATTATTTTGCTCACTTTTTAGGGTTGTTTCCATGCTTATATGTAGTTAGTTTTTCATACGAGCATTGTCTATTGATTTTTATTTATACGAACAAAATAAGAAAATCTGTTTATTTACTTATGCACGAAATGAACTTAGACTAAATTGTTCATTACATTAGTATTTGAAACATTTCACATCTTCTGGTTTATTCTATACATATCGTTGACTCTGTTAAATTTATGGAAATCATTACCTCCTTGGATCCCCTCCCCCTCTTCCTAAGTTGTTTATTAATTGATTCATTTTGTTCACTTCGTGTTTAATTGCCTCAGGTGTGTACTGCAGTGAGACCTGCACTGGATGACGAACTGCCATCTTCATACGTTGAGGAATATCGGTAGGCTATGATTAGTTAGAAAACTGAAAACTATTAACCATCATTATTGGAGATTTATATTAACAAATGATTAGATGGGTGGGAGTTTTGAAATTTCCAGAATATGTGATTACTGATTAGGCGATAAGATACCGTCTCTTTTGAAGTGAATTAGTTTATTTGCTCGTATCGACTCATCTAAAGTTTCTCTTTTGTTTTACATTTGACAAAAGGCTGTTGTTTTTAACGACAAATGTGTACTTTTATAGGATAAACTGTAATATAATTTAATACACTTTTCGGAGTATGCAGAAAGCAGCGGACCACAAATTCTAACATTGTGTCTTCTTTACAATATGCTTAGTTTAGACCATTCTAGGTCAAATGAGAATCCTACACCCAAAATTCTCTTTCTCTGAAGGCTGATTAAGTTCAAACATTGAAGGGAGTTTGGAAATAAAAATATGGGATCAAATGAGACACGCTATAGTAGTTAAATAAGCCTCAAGATGTCTATGAATAACAACCACTTTTTTCTTTATAATGTATTCTATGTTATGGCAGATGTACTATAGATGCAGAAATTGCTCGATATGTTGGTGATACGTATCCAAAAGGGGTTTGTTCAGTTTACTGTGTAAATGGAAAAGATGCGGAGGAAGCTGAATCTGATTTTGAGCTTGCTGTGGTTATTTCCGCTTCTAGACTTAGCCCTAAGAATTTCTGGTGCGTGCATAGTCATCAGAATATGTCTCTGCATTTTCTTGCCTTGTTTATTTGTCTTCTCCTATTCTTATTCTTATTCCCTACTCTCTCTACGTTGTGATGGGTAAGGTTTGGAAGAATATCATCAGCGTTTATGTTGAATTTCTTTGTAGTTGCAGCAAATGTCATGCTTTTGGCTCATCTGTTGCTGATGGCATTTCAATTCTTGCATGGATGAATTCATTTTGCAGACTTCAAATTCAGCTCCTATTTGATGTTTGTTTCCACTCTGTGCAGTAATGGAAGTTGGCGTTCCACATGGAACATTGAGTTCAAAAGTGATTTTCAAACGCTTGAAGTAAGAGGGGAAATTCAGGTACTTTCTTTTTTACTCATCCCAAGTGCACAACAGATTCATGCCTCTCTCTCTCTCTCCCTCCCTCATTTCTTGGATTGAACTTTATTTATTTGTGTTATTAAACCCTCAAAATTTTGTATTTTGGGTCTCTTTTCCTCTCTACTCTCTTCAGGTTTGTGCCCATTACTTTGAGGAGGGAAATGTTCAATTAGACACAAAGCATGAATGCAATGATTCAACTATCATGCAGGTCGTTGCCAATTTAAATGTGTTCTTTTTCATTATTATTTGTGGTCGTTATTGCTATGCTTTGATGGAGTCAAATGCTTGATTACTTTTGCTTCTTTTTACATCAGTTTTTAGAACATCTGTCATCCCAATATGCATTGCGGCATGGTCATGTAATAGTATGTTCAGTTGTGCTTTATTATTATTTTCAGAAATGTCTCTTTAAATTCTGTAATGCATTTTTCTATGTTTGTCTATCAGATGTTTTTATTTTTTCTTAGCATAAATAGGGTGACTCGTGAGACTTTTAAAATTGTTGAAATTTGTTACTGTTGTTTCAGGCTCCTGAAGATTGTTCAGTTGCGATAGCCAATATTATTCGCCATCACGAGGCAGAATACTTTTCTGCTCTCGAGGTTCTACATTGATCCATTGTGATTAGAATTTATTGGGTTTTCTTTAAAAATCTAATTAATGCTCGTATGTTTGACAGGTATCCTACTCAAACTTACCAGACACTACATTCAAGGTACTCCTTTTTATTGTGTGAAAAGCTATTTCATTTGTAATTTCTAAAGCCTTCCTAATATGGAATTAACCTAAAGGAAAGCTCTGATACCAAATGATAAGGAACCACTACAAGGAAAATAAGATTCGGATTACTTTGTTGATCAAATATCTTAAGACAATAACACTTGTTTGAGATTCGAATCACTCCACAAGCAAGATTGATCATGTCAAACTTGAATGATTCTAAAAGCAACCTAAACTATATAAAATTGCAAGGAAACTTGGTCATTGGCTAAAGGAAAACACAGATGTTCATTTTACTACATTTTCCAAATCTCCTTACAAATACAACATACATGTGGCTTTATATCGCCTCAAAATCAAACTTTTGACCTTCCATTAGGCATTTTAAGAATGGTAACATTCATATTTATGACCATAATTAATCATTATGTAAATGTAATCTAAAATAAATAAAGTCATAAAATGCATTAATGAAACGTCGTACCTCTACATTATGATCCACCCAAAATTTATACACAATAAAACTTGATTATTTTCCAATGTGGCATGAATTGAAACATCTTTCGATAATTTTGACATTTTCTTCACATCTTCCTTGAAGTTTATATTGCATGATTGATGCCTTGATTTATATCACTTTGGCATAAATTTTGTTTGGTATGAAAAATGAACAGTTCATCTATTATACCATTATTTCTGCACCATCTAATCCTAGGGAAAGTGAAGTGGGAGAAATTTAAAAAAAAGATTGATTTTGAGGAAGTGAAGAAGCCATTTGATCTCTTTATCTTGTTTCTATAATGAACTCTGATATAACGAGAATAAACACTCTCGAAGTATGTTGATTCTGTCGGTTCTTTAATAGTCGATTGCTCGATTGGAATATTAGTGTATGCATACCGGACTGTCAATGGCCTATCGACTTATTGTAAAATTTAAACTATGATTTCTTTGTGGATTTGAATTTTTCTTTTTGTTTTTGTTAGGCTTATACAATGGCATCATTTGGCCCTACGTTATCTTATTATCTGTTATTGATGTAGTTTTGGTACTTTGTGTTGCTAGAGATTTTACCATTGTGATCTTATGTCATATCTTCTCAACAAATTCGTTATTGATCTCGGATCATATACGATGCACTGCAGGATCTTCGAAGGAAGCTTCCCGTTAGTCGGACGCTATTTCCATGGCATAATACCTCACAATTCAGCTTAACAAGAGACGTTGTTAAAGAGCTTGGAATTGGAAAGTAAATGCACAAACATCAAAAACAGTAGCCTTTGCTCACTTTACAGGTAAACACAAAGATAACAAATCTCATTCCCCTTTTCGTTCTATCTTGTCGTTTCCTCGAGATTCATTTCTTTGTTCCGATGTCTTCCTCGTAGTGTATTCATTCTTGTGAAGTTGTATAGCTGCAAATGCAACGGGATACTACCGATTGTAAGTACACTTTAACTTGTAAAGTGAGGATTTATTTGTTTTTATTGCATTTGAGTCTGAAATAGATTATAGGCCGTGTGCTTCTTCTATTTGTTCTTTTTTTAAAGCTTCAACAACAATCCATCCATGTCTTTTTCATTTAATACTCTCCCCATTCATCAGTTCCTCCATAATGGTTTGTTGTTTCAATTATTTTGGTTCCTTTATGAACACAAAAATTGTAACCTTATTTAATACTATTATTGTTGTTATTGTAATTATTGTTCATGATCATAGGGGGATATGGGTTGTTTGGTAAATTAATTTAAGTTATTTTTGTTTGTTTGTGTATCTATATGGTTTAAAGATTATTTTGAGCTAGTTTCTGTAGTTTTAGAAATAGTGTTTAAAAGCATCCTTTTAAAAAAAATGTTTATTTTGGGATCTTAGACCATTTGAAATTGAAGGTTCGACTTAATTTGCACCATCTACCAACTTTTTGTTCGAACGAACTTATAATGAATGTGTGGGGAAATTTTTTGGATTAACCCATCATTTAAACTTTTAAATACAAAAGCAAATGAAAAGGCATAGAATTCCAAACGTTTTTTTTTTTTTTTTTTTTTTTTTTTTTTTT